TGGCCACACCCACCCAGTCACATGGCCAGCAAGCCACTCCCACAAAGCAGGCTACACCCACAGAAGAGGTTCTCAAAAGTTTGAAATCCACCACTGCAACAGACCTACAAAGCCTTGTGATTTAGGCCTTTCCTCTTTCTTTAAATGCATTGCTGTTGTTAAAGTTGTCAAATTTGCAACATTTGCCTTAGGGGAAGACAAACCGGATGGAAGTGCAAGACATAATCTGTCAAAGACCGCAATTCCCCAAGAGTACTTCCCAGTCAGTCAATCAATCACATAAAGCGGGTTACTTCACTTATTCAAGCAGCCAAGCCCATTGATTTTCTTTTCTTCTTTTTCCACTTGAGTCACTGGAGACCTTCTCAGCTTCGTCACGCAGGTATTATGATGGCTTACAAGAAAGAGTCAATGGAAAAGGAGCAGAGTTCAGAGAGCTTCCCCAAAGTCAAGGGACTGGAGAACTCCTGCATGTTTTGAAGGCTGTGAGTGAAAGAGGATACGTACGAAGAAGCTACTGTAGGGCAATTGGAGCAGAAATATAGATGGCCAAGTATGTGATGATTTATTTCATTGTATCATTTCTTAAGGGTTCTTTCTGCATCCTCTTTTCCGTGTCTTTTGCCTTATGTCTATATAACAAACATATCTGAGGATCTTAAAACTATGTGCTGCCAGCAAGCGGGGATTCCTAAAATTTATGATTAAATGTTAACGTGAAACAAGGAGAAAATAGTTTAACACACAAGTAGAGGTCTTTGCTCTTGCCCAGGGTTGTTTAGACTTAGATGCTAAATTATTTTATCAGATCCTCAAGGATTCATTTAGCCCTATTTTGGAGGTTAGGAAAGTGCATAAAGAATTCGGTATTTGAACAGGACTTTGAAAGCAAAACAAGTTGATTTTAGTTCTTCCTGCGGTATAATCATTATGATCAGCCTTTGGTAGTGTGGCTCAAAAAAACTCCATGGACTTATCTACGAAGTCATCATAAATCAAATTTGGGTGCAGTGAACCTTTACTAGACATACAGAGTGATCAGTTAATGGTATGCAACAGCAATTAAATGCAAATGAAATTGCATTGCACTAATAGTGTAACTGAAATTGTTGTGGGAGTGATGCAGGAGGGGGTGCACAGGTAAACCCACCAGGTTAGGTGGTCTTAATAGAATGGACCTTATAAATTCATATTAGCTTGGGTTTTCATTCTAGTGCGCTGGAGTTCCAAATTTGATTTATGATGACTTCGTAGATAAGTCCATGGAGT